AGGGCCAGTGGGACGACCCCACACAGAGTATTCCCATGCAGAAGTTATGGTCAAACAGAGACATCACAGTATCTGTGACTTTTTTTCACCACCATGGCAAACCTGAAGCCCTAGTAATGCTAATGTCATTTGCATAACATGTAAAAAGCACTTTTCTCCCCCTCAAATTAGCTTACACACACACACACACACACACACTATATATATATATATATATTTTTTTTAGATGAATGGAAAGACTTTTGAAAAAACACCAAAATGGAAAATTAGAGCGAGCAGTTTTAAGAATGCGTTTATACCGTGTTACGTGAGTATCAGCTATTTGGACCTGAGGCTACATCACCTCTCCCACTTAATTATCAGTCACAGAGGTCAATGGGAATACTCAGGTGAGTAAACATTACTCAAGCAAGTAAGGATTTGTTGTATCAAGCCCTTTATGAGGGGCACTGTTTCATCTTTATTGTTAAATATTACCACAATGTGTTCTATGACGTGTTTTCCTTAGAGAAAAACCTAGAGTCAAACCAATAAAAATGAAATGCGCTCTCTTGTTTGTCAAGTCTGTAGCCAGAGCACATTTTTATAGCTGTAATAAAGTCAGACAAAATCAATTATAACATATAGTATTAAAATGTTTGTAATAGAAACAATGATAGATTCTTCGCCAAGGTTTCTGGAACAGTAATGCTATAATGTGCACTGTTTCAGATTTTATGAGAGTCAGACTAGTCTATGAATCCATCTACATTAGGCAAGAAACAAATATAAAACTTGACTAACGGCATTTGTAGCATTTTTCATATTTATTCTTTTAGACCTGGATCCTGCAAGAACGTATGCACTTGAGTAATTTTACACACACAACTAGTCCCACTGGGCTCAATGCATTTGCAGGACTGGGGCCTTAATTTGTCGTAATAATTCTGTCACAAGGGGGAGTGAGACACAGAGAGTATGTCTACACTGCAGTAAGAGACCCACGGCAGGCCTGGGTCAGCTAACTTGGGCTCATGGGGCTCGGGCTGTGGGGCTATAAAACGGTGGTGTAGACGTTCGGGCTCCAGCCCAACCCCGGAAGTCTACACTGCAATGAAACAGCCCTGCTGCCCGAGCCCCGTGAGCCCGAGTCGGCTGGCACGGGCTAGCTGCGGGTGTCTAGCTGCAGTGTCGACATACCCTAAGGGGCTCAAGTGCCGGCGGTGATGCTGACCTGTGCCTGTTTCCCAATGCCCTCAGTTCCCCAGGTCCTGTACAGCATACCAACACAGGGTCACTCTTACCAGCTCGTCTCTGTTCTCAGAGACCAGATTATGTCTCTCAAATTCCAGCAGGACTGGCTCTAAGTCACCTGCACTCTGTGAAGTGATGGGGAAGGGGGGTATATGAGAGGGAGAACAGGCACAGGTCAGATCTGAGGCTTGAATCCCTTTACAAGGCCCGGTTCATCCTGTAAAAAAATACCAGTTTCCTTTACTGCATGGCTAATCATGTGAAAACAGTCACAGTAAAGAGTAAAATATAGGGGTTATGATAGATCAGATCTTTGAACTATCAAGTCCAATATCCTACCCTGATCTAAAAAATGCATCATATATTAAAAAATTGAAGGTATAACTAGTAAATTAGTTTTGAAGTGTAAATTCCTGCATCTTTTCAAACTCTCTCTCTCTGTGGAGGTTTCTAGACTTCAAAGCCATGAACTAAAAATGTTAAAACTTCTTATGTGTAAATTAAATAGGCAACGCACACATTAGCCAGCCATTTTCACAAGACGAGACCTCAGGGTTTCATTTTCTTCCCAAAGCATTAACCTTACTCCACAGCGATTTTTCACCGCACATACATTTTTCCCAGCTGACAATACCTTTTATCTTTACTGTGCATATACTCCTGGAACCAGGTTTTAAACTCCCCCAGCTGGTGCTGTGCCCGATTCACCACGTGCAAAGCGGCGATTAAATCTCCACAGCGCATGCAATAGTAAATCAACGCCCAAACAGGATGGCCTTCCACCTCCCCATCCTGGAAATAAAGGAAGACTTTTACAATAGAACAACAGCATGCACAATACTTTGATTTATTTTTCTTTATACGCGCCAACCACCTAGTTCATTTTGTTTCAGCAAAATACTCAAGTTCTCCCTTGTACTCAGTTCTCCCTTGACTTCAGGCAGAATTCCATTTGTGTAACAAAAATGCAGGATCAGGCCCACTTGATTTAAGTTCTGGGGAAGCTGTTTGTGTCTGTGGATATTAAAGAATATCCTGCTTTTAGTTCCCTCTCTCCCGCATTTTCCCCTCTGGGTGAGAACTCTCCAGTCATACTAGTAGCATCTATACATTTTTTTTCCGGGGACTTGCACTGACCACTTCACTTTGCTGGGAAAAAGCATAAACCAGCCAGGTCTGTGGCACCCAATCGCAAAAGTAGTGACATGCTTAGCTCCAATGGGACGAGCAGAAGAGGATGACTGGGCAGTCCGCTGTTAGCGCATGCCTGTGTGCACTCTCCAGGGCTGTGAAGGAAGTGACTCTTTATGCTTTCCAGCTGCATGATGTCACAGTGACAGAGGGAATCAATGGGATGGGAACAGAGTCGGTAACTGTGTTCTGGATACACATCTACTCTCTTTGCTCACTATTTATTTTGGCACTGCTATGCCTGGAACTGGCCAGGCCTCATCTATCTTCCAATAGGAAACAGAATTATTAGAGCTGTGTCAGTCCCAGGATATTAGAAAGACAAGGTGGGTGAGGTAATGTCTTATTGGACCAAGCTTGTCTCTCTCACCAACAGAAGTTGGTCCAACAAAAGCTATTACCTCACACACCGTGTCTCTCTCACAGGAAAGAGGTATTCAGAATCTTTCCACTGCACAATAGCTAGCCAGTAGGTACAGAACAGCAGGTTCAAATGCTCCATTGAACTGCTTTTTTGTACCTTTCTACAGAAGCACTCCGCAGCTAAGATCACCACATCCTTGAGCCCACGCTCAAGGTTAAGAGAACAGGCACAAAAGCGCCGAAGGGCTTGGTGATGGAAAGAATAAATATTTTTATTGACTATCATAAGTGATGTGCTAAGCTATTTGCTCATCCATATACCTATACATGATTTCATGCTGCTGGCAGCCATCGCGAGCCTCTATCTGAGCTCCTAAGAATCACCCACTAGCCACATTCTTTTACTTCTACTGGATTATTTGGAGCGCTGAGGTTCATTCTCCTCGCTCAGCAGGGGACCTGGCTGGGGAGAAGATACACCCAACTACGGACAGGGACAAGACAAAAACCCTAAAATGAATTCCAACTTCAAGCGGATACAAAGCTTTAGCGTACGGAAGCTGCAAATATAAGAAAGGGTTCACTTCGGACTAGTACTTCAATAGGAGGTAATTCTGTAAAGAGAGCCCCCTTTCCAATTATTGTCAGTTATTCGGATTTTATTTTAAAGGTGATTTCAGAAACTTGTCAGCTGCAGAAAACAAAGTTCCAGTTGCAAAAATTGAGGCTATTCTCTAGCAGAATAGGGAATTACATTTCCTGCTCTCCATTCAGGGGCTGATCCAAAGCCCAATTAAGTCAATGGAAGTTGTTACAAAGGGCTTTGGATTAGGCCACAAAGTATTAGTGATGCTGTTACTGGTGGGGAAAAAACATTCAACGTGGGTCTCAGCAGGTCAGCAAAGAATGAGCTGAATTTCAACTATTTTGTTTCCAATTGTCTGTATTTGCAAATCTTTCATCTGATTTTTGACAGGGTCTCAACCCAGCCTCCCTAGTTGCACCTACAATTTTGCGGTTCACCTAACTGTTGGCACAACTTTGCACTTACAGTTATGGGTGGGTGGAGTGGTTTGGGTTAGATTGCTGAATACTTGATTTCTGCCTGTACTTCAGGTTCAGTAGTTAGACATCTCAATAGCAGCAACTGTGCCAGCACAGCATTATGGGTGCAAAGTCGTGCCCAAAATTACTTGCACCTGCAATCTGCAGCAGCAAAAAGAAAACTGCTTTTTATATGTTTAAATTTAGCCCTTTAAAACTACAGCTGTATGATTTTTCTATCTTAAACAGTTGGATATATTTGAATGCTCTTTTAAGAGAAAATTCTAACATGCATAATTCTAAGGCTTAAATATAGAAAATCACCATTTTGTAACTGTTTCTAAAGCAAGTCAAGTGATTTCCATCTACTATACTCCATTTTACCAATGAACTGTTACTGTTATTCAGGAGGGGGGAAAAGAGAGCACTGCCTAATGCAATCTAAATAAAATAAAATCATCAGGGGGTTGCACTGGCATCTTGCCTACACTAGTGTGAAGAAGTGTGCAATAGCACTTTGGCTGTATCAGTAACAGTACTGCACATACCTGGAGACCGGGGACAGGTGCTGGGAGTTTGATATTAAGGAAACTGCAGACTAGTTGGTAGGTCCCAGGTACTCCACCCAATTGAGCCTGGTGTAAGTTTCCAAAGACTGTCACCAAAGTATAATTCTTGTAACTGTAAGAAAGCATTTTAATAAAGTAAAATACAAGCCCTGCAAAAGCCCATGACTTTTCCTGTTCAACAGAGCCCTCTATCTTTGAGTGAATTACTATGAAGTGCAAACACTATCGTGGGGGCAACACGATCCATGGAGTTATGTTCCTTAATGTAGATGTTTGTATGTGGAAATCATTTGAGAAATTGTATGTTTTGAAGTTCCCAGTGCACTACAGCTCAACTCTCATGCTAGCAAAAAAATCAACATTTCCATCTAACGATGCTAACTAGCACAAAATAACATTTAAAATGCCATATACATGCTCTCGCCATCTCTGTGATGGAGAAATGATAAATAAGACCCTACTTGAATTACGGGATGCTCGTCAAATAATTGTGAGCTGCGGACAAGACGTGAAAAATTGTGGAAAAGTAATAATGGACCTTTGGAAATAATTTAGAAAAGCCAGAGAAAACCTATTTGTTTAAGAGATATTTGCTGGAACTACCATAAGTCCGGATTTTCCCGAACATGTCCGGCTTTTTGGGCCTCAAATCCCCATCCGGGAGGAAATCCCAAAAAGCCGGACATGTCTGGGAAAATAGGGAGGGAGGGGTCGTGGTGCTCGGCCGGGGGCCAGAGCCGCTGGGGCCGGCGGCCGGAGCTGCTGGGGCCGGCAGTGCTCGCTGGGGCCAGCGATGCTCGGCCGGGGTCGGCGGTGCTCTGCTAATTTTTTTTGATAAGCAGACATTTTGCTGCAACTATATTACAGTCACTAATGCGTGGAACTGACAGCCGGAGCCCCGCCATTGTCAGCTTGGACAAATGGTGTTCTAGTGGACTAATGGAGAAAAAAAGAGTGCGTTGCAAACCGCAAAATATATGCAAAATTGTGGAGTGTGCAAAGCAAGCTAATTAAAATCAAAACTGCGATGGAAGCCTAACATCGTGGGATCTGCAATTTCCACAATACTGCGAATTAAATAGGGCCTTAATGATAAACTTCAGAGACATTGACTTACCATAAGGGAACCACAGGGGAAAAAGAGAATTTAGACGCAAAGTCTCTACACACAGAAAGTGGATTTGAGAACACCTTCTACAGGAAGCAGTGAAAGTAATTCACCGAGGCAAGCTAATAAAAAACTCCCCATGTACTGAAACTACAGGGAACGGGCCGGAATAGGAGTTAAAAAACTGAAGCAACACTGTATGGATGGCTGGGACAGACAAGCTCCTGCTTTTTCCTTCAGCCAATAATGAACTAATGAAATTCAACAGCCTTCTAGCTAGTGTGCAAGCTACAGAAAACCAGGCTAGAAGACGAATACGTGAGACTGAAATGCATGTGTGAAAAGCTATGCTAAATTTAGTAAAGTATCAGAGTGGCACCTCGTAGGAACTCTAGAGTTATGATTGAGTTAAGTATGTGTTCCTCAGGGTTTAAGACCACAGATGTCTGCTGTAAATGACCTGACACAAGGCCAGCTGTGAGTGACTTCAATTTACCGAAGGCATACCTGAAGGGGTGGTGGGGCATGATGACTCCAGCAGGGAAAGTTCACTCTCATAAGGGTCTGCTTTGCCAATAGGCTAATTCATGGCAAATAAAAATTAATGCTGCAAAGCATGTTAGTTGGGCTTTAAAAATAGTAAGCCTAAAGGGCCTCATTTCAAAAACAGTGCGAGAAAAAAAGTGTGTATGCAACTGCATGCCTGCTTTATGCTTGCAGTTAATGTGGCTGTGATCATTTACCAAGCTGGATACTCAGCGAATTGGGTTAAGACCCGAATTGGCCTGTTGTGCATTGCTAATGCTGAAGAATTTGCAGCAGAGGATTCTTCTGATGTGTCCATTCATCTGGAAACAGATGGGCATGCTGCCATGAAGCCCATGAGTGATAATGAGCGACAGCGTACTGATGAGGCCTGGCAACCAACTGTTCGTGGTCAGAAGGAGGCTATGATGGGAGGGGAAAACACCTCATCCCAACATACTGTATCAGGCCCCAGTGCCTCAGCAACCCCGACACAAAACTGGAGTAGGTTATATCTATTGTTTGCTCTCTACGATCATACTTTCCAGCTAATGTCATGATGGCAGCTGTTGGAAGGAAGGACATTCTCATAGTCAGCTCTGTGATTACACATGCAATGAACAGTTCAGCTTTTGTAATGCTCAACACACAGTCAGTGGAATCTTGCATTGAATCCTAACTTTGTGGGCACTCCACCTGTTGCTGCAGTTGTTCTATGCACGTAACTGTGCACACACCTTGTTCAAGCTCTGACAGTTTGTGCTATTTGCTGGGACTGATGATCTGTGTCTGGCCTAAATTCCATCAGACTCTCTATGGCCCTCTTCCCTACAAGCAAACTGACAAAACCCTGGCTATTGATTTACCGGTGTTTTCACGCCGTAACTTGGAGAGGCAGGTGGGAAAACAACAGGCTTCATAATCATTAGGAACAAACACATTAGTGGGTTTGTTCAGGGCAAACTTAAATTTTGCAGGACTTCTACTGCACACACACACACACACACACACACACACACACACCCACCCACCCACCCACCAGAAAACAGGTCACGTCTAGCTCCTTTTCCAGTCTCACACGCACGGAGTTATGAAAGCATTCCCTCCCTCGCCCCTTTCCATATGTTTCAGCTGCAGTGTCCTGCAATTTCACACCAAAAAAAGAAAAAATGTTCGGGGTCACTGCATGAAAAGGAAGGAGAATTGCATTTACACAACTTTTCAGCAAAGCATGCTCACCACTTTCACCCAGCTCTAGTTTCTAGTATCTCCATGTCATTAGCATCCCGAAGGGAATGAAGAAGAGGGAGACTTTTTTTT